TCAGGTTGATAATTTCTGAAGGTTTAAGAATGATTGACTCATACTTAATTAGTTAAAACTGGCACCAATTTCCAACTTCCTGTTAAAAAAAGACGGTTAAAGCAAAGGGACCTTATTGTTCAGGTTGTGGAAAGAAACGATAATGGCTCCTGTTAGAAAGAAAAAAGCAGTTAAAATGATTAAGTGTGCTGAAGGTTCTTGTTCGGTGAAATCAATGAGAAAATCGGTTCCTTTATGTCATGTTGGTTATTGTGGGAATGTGGATAAATACAACGCTTGTCAAAAGAAGAGGACTATTGGTACATAGATTGATGAAGGAAAATTTGGAGTTATTAAAGATCAGGGAAAGTGCTATTTTTGGGATACTATATTCTCTAATGTGCTTACCTTTCCCCTTTTTCAAGGACTGAAAACTGTTGATCATTTGATAATGTCTGATATTTCTACAATTGAATTATCAACAAAAAATGGTACGACTAATATTGTGGGTTTAATGGAACTTATGACAATAAGATTTTTTATAGTGCAAATTTGTGATGAGAAGATGGCAAAAAAAAAGAGTTATTCATTGGAGGAACTTTTCGTCAATATAACAGAATTGGGAGATAGACTTCGGTTTCGAGATCCATTTAAACCGATAGCAAAGGAAAAATTGGAATTTTCATGTGACACTAGATGTGATTTTCAAACAAAAAGTTTGGTTTTATGTGCTGATTTGAACCATAGAACATGTGTTTTATTAAGAAATGCTGGAGAAAATATAGTATATGCGGAAGGGAATTTTATATTAGCAATTGTGACAAATTATGCTGTTTGGTTGTATAAGATGAGGTTATGTAGATTTGAAGGGGCAGAGAGATCGTTATTTGGTAATGAAACTAAACTTACATTAGGTCATTCTGGAATATCTGCATTTATTAGTGGTGGATCCATTGAAGCTGCTTGGCGATTAGATCTTTCTAGCATGGGAGGGTTGCAGAGATTGTTTAGCATGCTCAAGAAGTGTTGTGGTGATAAGGATGGAATGCAAGTTGATACTTGATTTTGGGTTTTATTTTTGTATAAATATCTCTCTTGTTGATTAATAAATATTCATTTTTTTAAACAATGTCTGCTTGATCGTATTGTAAAATTAATAATGGAAAATTTCATAATTGTGATTATAGTGATGCTAAACGACAAAAAACCATATGTAGTAAAGATAATGAATATTACGAAGAATTTTTAACAGGATTGTATTCAATGGCACATTAGTTAATTTCTCCACCGGTTGAACCACCTCCAATCACCGATGATAATGAAACCTTTGACAATTTGATTCAGAATGAATATGATATTGGTGCTTTAGAAGATGGTGGGATAATAGATCAAACAATCATTGTTTCAAAATTGCCAATTGAGAAGCAAAATGTGTTGCAAAGTATGCAATGGGGCAATATGCGATGTTATTGAGATTTAATAATTTAGCAAAGGACATTAGCGAGGAAACATCGATTCCAAAGCTACAAGATGGTGGTTTTTGGGATATTGAGATATTAGGTGATCTTTTGTTGAATGATAAGTTAAAAAATGAATTACAGAATATTCAGTTAAATAGATTACGTTACAGACAAGATTATGAAAGGGTTTATAATGAAATATCAGGAGAAAAAGATTTAGATAGATTAAAAAATTACTGGAAAAATGCTATTAACAATTCGAGTTTTATATTGGAAGATAAGAGTGAATTAAATGAATTATGCAAAGCAAAGATAAAAGAGTTAGAGAATTCTGTTAGTGATATGGATGCCTTTTCATCGATAAGAGATGGAATGAGGAAGGACACATCTATAGCGAATTTGGATACTGGGATCGTAGAATAAGTGATAATGTGCTAAATTTAATTCAGAAAGCAAATTTACAACAATTTAGAGGTAAAAAGTTACGAGAATTATCAGATCAGTACTACGATCAAATCAAGAATGAGCTTCCCAATATTAAAAATCCAACTCAATTGCAAGATGGTTCGAGGATGGATAGGCGAATCAGACAATTGGAAAATATCAATCTAACAGGTGGAAGAAATGTGAACGATCTTCAACGATTACGAGTTAGCTTGTTAGATTCTTTGTTGAGTCAATTAGAGGTTGATAAATGTGATAACTATCAAAGGTTGATAAATCAGTATTATAGACAATCTCAGATTGTTGATCTGGATGATACAAGCAAACTTGCGAATGATATATTGGCATTGAACGCAACTTTATTGGATGATCAAAGAAGCAAACAAAGGTTGATCGATTTTAGAAAAAATAAATTTAATAATCTATTATACCTTTTTTTGAGTGACTTTTCAGGAGGAAAATGATGTGGAAGAACTTGTCGATGGGGGAAAATATGACAAGGAGATACAAGGGATCGATCAACAATATTTAGATTTTCCGAGAACCAAAGAGCAATTGCAGAAGGAGCGTCATGATCAGCTAAATTCTCTTTTGTCAAGTGCATCAGAAAACAATAGTAAATTAAAAGATGATAAAAAAGACGCAAAACTAGATAATAAAAACGCGAAATTAGATGACAATGATGAGAAATTAGATGATAATAACAGAAATTAGATGATAAAGACACAACATTAGATGATAAAGATACGAAATTAGATGATAAAGACGCGACATTAGATGATAACGATACGAAATTAGATGATAAAGACGCGACATTAGATGATAAGAAAAATCATGACAACAATAATATTAAAAAATACTTCTTGGATATCTTAGGGAATTTCCCCAAGGCAAATTTAACGGTTCGTTGGAGGATAATAATCTGTTGGATCAAATGATAAAATCATCTACAGAACTGTCAGATACACAAAAAGTAGAGTATCAAAAGATCAGAACTTCTATTAATGACATTTACAAGGACAAAGAATGTGATCATTATTTTGTTGATCCGGATGATCTAGAGTATAATGCTGTTTTTCTCGATACGTCAAAAGCATCTTTTGAGGATGTCGAGCAATTAATCGCCAAGATATTAAAGACTAAAAACAAGATATATACAAAATTACATAGCTTTTTTGGAGACGAAATAACAATCCAGATTCTCAGATTGGTTGAGCATTTAGCAACGAATAATATCAAAATCTTGTTGAATTCAACTCGTGATCTTGTGAAGGATGATAAGGAATTACTGAAAAGAATTGATAAGAAGCTTAACAAGAAATGCAAACCGCTCAAGATTACCAATAGCGAGTTCAAGAAATTGATCAAACAGTTTAGAGCAGGAGTGGTTAACACGATAAATAAACCAGGACCATTGTATGCGATAGACTCTGTTTTATCATGTTATAAAGAAGTAGTTGAAACGAATGAGGATGAGTTGAACAAGATAAAACGATTGGTGCTTGAACAGTTTTACAAACAAACTGATGTTTCTTTAATGGGAGCATTCTTTAGATTTACTCCTGAAGGAGAATTTAAGTATAAAATGTCACCGGATCTGTTAAACAAACATCAATTCGTTTATGTGATCTATCGGATTTTGGTAGAACGTGTGAGCGATGAAAGATTGGAATATAAAGTTAACAATATTTTTGATCAGTTAGATTTCATTATATAATGGCCAACATTGTACGTTTTCAGAAGGAACTCGAGGATTTACGTCAAGAGAATGAATTGTTAAGGAAGAGAAATGGGCAGTTGCAAAACTATCAAAATCAAGTTTCAGAGATATTAACGTGGAAATATCCACTTTTTTATCTATTTTTACAAACATTTAAACAAATTTTTATCATAATATTCTATCATATGATTGCAACATTTTTGTTTTTTGTATCTGTAGAACTTTTCTTTTTTTATAGTAAGTTAGATTGCAAGTATACATGTTGGGATGGCGATTACCGATTTGATCCAAAGAATAACTAATTATGTCGAGGAAATAGTTGAGGAAAACGAGACTTTGAGAGAGATTAACGAACAGTTAGAGGATTATAAGACAGAGAACATTTCATTGTATTATTATTATCATATTTTAAAATTTGTTAGAAGCAATTATTTTAGGATAATTATTATATACGTTTTATCACTTGTTGTTAGATTTTGGTATTTTTTTATCTTATCGAGTGTTTGGAATGATCTGTATGGCCAGTTGGTTTGCTTTGGCTTTTAGATTTCAACACTTGGCATTTGTTTAGGGTGTATATGTTTGATTTTGATCTTATTTCGAGAAAGTATTATTTTTTTTCCAGAGTTTATCTCTTTAATTATACCAGATACAATGAGACACAATGGGACAAATACTTTGATTTAACAAATATCACAATTTAAATTACATTTTAATGTTTATTTGATATATTTTATTACAATTTAATAAAAAAATTACTTTTTTCTTCTCACTTCAATGGGTTTTACCTCAAATAATTTTTCTGTCCAGTATACTATTAGTTTCATTTTTTCTTCAATTTTATCATTTTTATCGTATTTTGCAGCAAAATAGTCTAAAGTTAAGTTGGCATCAGTGTTTACTTTCTTTAAAGTATCCTCATAGTTCAAGTTCTCATACGTAAGTTTATTGTTATCTTCTTGAAGTTTTGCATTTTCCTCAGACAGTTTTTTGTTTTGATCGGTTAAGGTTTTGTTATCGGCTAACAATTCAGCATTTTTTGCTTTGAGTTTATCGTTTGCTTCCTTGAGCGGTTTCAGTTTATCGTTTTCATCTTTTAGGGTGTTTATTTGGTTGGTCAGGTTGGTTATTTGGTTTGTTAATGGTTCGTTTCCTGTTTTTAGTTCTTCATTTTCTTTTTTTAATCGTCTTATTTCATTGGTTAACTTGTTAAAATCCCCTTGGATGTGGTCAGCGAGACCACTACCGCTGGGCAATTGTAATGCTTTCGGTTCAGACATTTTTATTTTTTATATTTTATTTATTTATTTATATATTTAAAATATTGTTTAACAAAAAATAAAAAAGAAAAAGAGAAAAATTAAAAAGGCTAAAGCCTCATTACATAATTGAAGTATCTATTTGTCAAATAGAAGGTTATAACCTGGAGACATCCAGTAAATATTTTTACATGCTTGTAACAAATTATCAACCATGGTCACAACACTTGTTTCCTTACTTTTTCCAACCATATAATAATGGCATCTGCTTAATTTCCCAACAAAACTAATATTAGATTTGGGTTCAAATGCTTTATTCTTGTATCTCGCATCATTGTTTAATTCTTGTTTTTTATTTCTGTGACAGGCCTTTGTCAATTCATCCATGTTTTTATCAAAGTTAGAAACAAATACTTCAAAGGTTCTAGGGCATTTATATTGATTTACATAACATAAGCATTTCCATAATCTTTCTTGAACAGGACCGGTCAAGGTAAGGTCCTTGCATGCGTTTACTAATTTTTTAATTTTTCCATCAAACTATCATTTTCATTAAACTTAACACCAAGCAATTTAAGGCATTCATTCACTTGGTTGATAACACCATAAAGGATAGTGTTTAATTTTTCAACATTAGTTTTATTTTCAACTTCGCTAATATTCATATTAAGATGACTGGTGATGATTTCGTTAATTTTAATTTCGACTTCATTTCTATGTTTTCTGCAATCGTTAAGTTCATTAGTATGATTATTAAGTTGGGTTTCAAGCTCTCGAATTATGGTATAATCGGTGTTATCAATTGTATGATGTACAACATAGATATAATGTTGGTGAATTATGATTGCTCGTCCTCCTCCTCTTGGTCTTAAACAACATCTTCCTCTAAAACGATGTCCTCCACCACCACCAACCCAATTTCCAATAAGAATACATCTGGTTTTAAACTAGGTAATTTCTTTTTCTTCTTCATTTTCTTTTAATTCTTCAAAATCATACTCATTTTCATCATAAACAATTTCAATTTCAGGCATTTTTGTTTTATTTTTTTTATTTTTGTGCTTTAATTATATTTTTTTTACTTGATTTTTTAGCTTTATTTATAAAAAATTTAAGTATATATTTTATTTATATTAGAAATATTTTTAATATCATTACATGCTTTAACTAACAGATTCATTTTTTGGTTTATGCTAATGTTTTTTTTTATCATATTTAATATCCAATAAACTTAAAGAAAGATCAATGTCTCGTTCGAGTTTCACAATATCCATTTCTTTAAACAATGTTGCGTATATTAGAACGTAGAGATGCATGTATAAAGTATAAAAATTACAGTAAATTTGATACATCATTTTGTTTAGATGTAGGTGAAACTTGAAGATTTTCAGGTGGAATTCTAAAAAAAAAATAATAATTAATTTTGTTCAATCAGAAAGAAAAGGGGGAGGAAGAAAAAATATTTTTTTTTTAAAAAAAAAATAAAGTTTATATTATCCTTTTCATTGTCTGTCTCTTTTTTTTGGTGATGTGGCTTTTCTTTTTTTGGTTCTTTTCTTGGATGTCATATGTCTTGGTTTTGTTGTTGTTGGCGGCGCAGGTCCTTTTGGCTTATGCACGTTTTCGTAATATGCTCTACCTCCCTTACCAAATTTTTGAACAAAGATGCCTCCATCGTATTGTTTTGTGATCTTTCCGTTCTTGTTTAGTATGGGCACGTAATGCTTTTTATGAAAATTCCATGTATGGAGAATTGGCAGATTTTGGTGTAATCTGTGTGATTCAATTTCGATAATGATATCAGTTGCATGTGGCATATCAAACAGGAGCACAAGGATGATCAAAAGCCACAGAATAAATCATTTTGTTTATCATCTAACAATGATTTAAATAGATCCGAATTTAGCAAGGGTTGGGTTTATATAAGCAATTTACCGATAGTTTGATTACATGTAAGTTTACCATTATTATGTAATATTTTTAAAAAACTAATAATTATTTATTATGTAGCATGAAAATCATCTGGTTTATCATTTTATTGGTCACAATTAATTGTTATCATGCTTTGGAGTACAATGATGTTTCAAAAAATTTCAATCTAACCAAGTGTTTGAGCAATGCAAACAAGATGCAACATCTTTGAGCAAGCATCGGGTGAACAACATGTTTATGGAGATGATAAGCTGTCTTCATATGTTAAAGTTGTGCATTATAACATGTTGAAATCATAAACAGGAATTTCATTCTGAAGCAAATGCATTTTGGGAAATAAGGTATAATATTAACAGTTTTTACTGAATTATATAATCATAATAAATTAATATATAATCATAATATATTTTATTAGGCGATTCACCAGTCATCTGGACAAAAAATTTTTTTTTTATATATAAATTTTACTATGAGTGCGAAAGTATAGCGTCTCTATCTAAAACTTTTTTTTATATTAAGTAAATCATTCTTCGGCTTCTAACAAAAGTTGTAGAGCTTATAAAAATATATTTAATACTAAAAGGATATTAAAATTGGCCTGGTAGTTCTTGAGAAATCTTTAAAAAACTTCTTTTTCACTTATAAAATTTCTTTAAAAAAATCGATTTTTTTAAAGAAATTTTATAAGTGAAAAGGAAGTTTTTTAAAGATTTCTCAAGAACTACCAGGCCAATTTTAATATCTTTTAGTATTAAATATATTTTTATAAGCTCTACAACTTTTGTTAGAAGCCGAAGAGTGATTTACTTAGTATAAAAAAAGTTTTAGATAGAGACGCTGTGCTTTTACACTCATAGTAAAATTTATATATAAAAAAAAAATTTTTTGTCCAGGTGACTGGTGAATTTCCTATTATATATAATTATAATAATTTGTAGAAACTTTAATATATATGAAGCTATTGTCCCTGATCAAATGCATATATTAGATTTTGGCCTTTTTAAGTATATATTAAATTTTACTAAAGATCTTTTACTTGAGCAGTGTAGGGGCCAAGTAATTCAAAAATTTGAACAATAATTAATATTAGTTCTTAGATTTCAAGCCCTCAAAATAATAAAGAATATATCTGATATAACACATTTAACAGCGAAATATAATGAAAATAATAATTTTCACATTAGATAATTTATAAGATAGTTATAAAAGGCCAGGTGTTAACAATAAGGAGTTATGTCAAGTCCATTACAAGTTCCTTTGAATGTATATAGCCATTTAGGAAGAATCGTTTACTAACAATTCTTGCAATCAACTTCAGATATATAATAAACACTTATCTTTATAAATGCTTTATTACAGTATTAATGTATAATTTCATAGATATTTATTAAGAAGTGGGCCAAAAAATTTATTAAAATATTTTCAAAATATTTTAAGAGTGGCCTCCAACTTCCAAAACTACATACTTGGTGCCATTATATAGTACCTGCGATTAAAAAATATAGGTTAGTAAATAGTATGATCACAGAAATCTATAAAACTTTTTATAATCTTATATTAAAAACCTCTACCGAATGTTAAATAAAAAAGAATATATAAAACAAATAATAAAAACAGTAAGCTAAAAAGAAATTTTTTACAAAATTTAATAATCTTATTAACTATCGATTATGATCGATAATTAACAAGATAATTAAATTTTGTAAAAAATTTTTCTTTTCCCAATATCAACTAGATTTGCCTTCATTTTACTGACAGCTCACTTAGCCAACATTACACTAAGTGACAATTCACTAAAAATATATACCTGCAACTAATAAAATGCTAATCCTAACCCTATATGATATTGACTAAGTAAATTTTTGGTGAAATAATTGTTGGTGAGGTGAGCAGCATAACCTATTATTAAATAAAAATTGCTATATATAATTAATAATTGAAATTTAGATTAAAAGATAAAAGTTAACTAAAAAAAAAGTTTCTAAAAGGAAACAAAAAACAAAAAAGTTTGAAAAGTGTTTGTAGACAATAAATTTGGAAGGCATTGATAACTTCTTTCAAAAAAATAAAGATATAGACTCATTACAAACTAGAGGCTTACAAAATCTGCTGTCTAGTCTTGATGAATTTTTTGAAGATAAATCAATTATGTTAATTGACAATGATACAAGAATGGAATTCTTTGCATCAGCATCAATTAATAGCACTGATATAATTTGTGCTTCTCTAAAATTCTATGAAAAACCTTTGTTTTCTAACATTATAGTTAGTGCTGAGGTTGAAGATAAAGGTATAAATTGGTATAGCTTAGTAAGTATTATTACATTATCTGATATATATATATATATATTTTAATTCTTTGATGGTCTTGTCAAAGCTCGAATACAACTTTATTTTATATTTAATCAATAACAGTAAACTATTACAACTAAAAACTAAAGTCTAAATTGCAAGCTTAACATCTACTGGCTGCGTAGAACGTGCCCATTAGCGACTCGTCGCATCATCTTGTATACAAGTGGGATAGACCTTGTTAGCCCGTTGAGAACTAATTCCTTCAATTTTTCTTTCTTTACTGAGAGCAAAAGAAAGTAGTGATTTTATACCAACTAAAAAACTACCAATTATTAAAACAAAAAAGAACTATATCTACTAAAAACAAAATAAACGAAAGGAGAATTTTTAAAAGGAAATAAAAAAGAGGAAAGAAATATGTAAAAAAAGAAAAACAAAGAGAAAAGCCCCGAGAGCCAACAAGGTGGGGTACTACCTCTATTAAGAAGCAGCCAAGCAACCCGAAATTTGCCATAAACAAGGAAATACACTATTATAACCCGTGTCAAGTTAAAGTAAAAATTATATAACAACTACAACCATTGTATATCTCAATTATAAAGCCAAGCCTTAATGTATACCTTCCAACTATCAACCAAATCCTGATATCTCTTCTAACCCAAGACCCGATCCGAGTTGCATAGAGAACCACCTACTACCCGATCCAAATCACGTGGAGTAACGCTGTATCCTTTGATAAACAAGACATGTTGGTTGTAATATACCGAGTTTGTCCAAATTTGGATATAAACAATGCTGATCTTTTGGAGGGGTAAGCCAAATCACCACTTTTTGTCAAAATTTTTGAAAAAATGGCAGGAAGTCGAAAATAAGTAATAGAGGAGCTACTTGAAACAGAAAAAGAGTGCGGCTTTGGAGCAGACATATAATTTGTTGTTTCTCCAGTGTTCTTCTTTGAAGTAACGACCTAAAAGCTTCATTGACAACGTTAGTCCATTCCTGAACAACCCGCTATCAAGATTTTTTATACAAGAGCACCCCCTGCCAGTTATCTTGTATAATAACGCTCTTGGCTTGTATGCCAAACGTCCCTTGTAGAGGAGTTCCCGTAGTAGTAAGTTGACCTCTAGACAAACCACCATTAGGCCACAACTCTCCAACAAATTTTTTGTTTTTTCTATTAGTGAGAATTTTGGTCCAAGTGATCATCAGAAAGAGTTAATATATGTAATTCATTATCTGATATTGCAAGTATATAAATATAATATTAATAGCATATTAATAATAATGAATAATAAAAGAGTGTGGTAACTTAGTGAAGTGATCAAGTCGTCACCCCACCAGGTGGCAGGTCTAGAGTTTGAATCCCATGGAGTTAATATTTGGATAAATAGGCCTGTGCTATAGTAACCAGGGTAGTGATTATTGGATTTGGAAGATCTGTAATCTGAGTTGTATCTGATCCAATGCAAGAATCTAGTATGTTACCAATTACAGATACAACTGTAGAACATGGAACAGTTATAGAAATGAATCAAGTAATATCTATTTGTGGGCCAGATATATATTAGCCTAAAATTTGTAAAAATATTACACAAAAACAAGAGTATACATATAGCTTTGGCATTGCTAAAAGTGGGTTAAAATTTGCTATTGACAATGGTTTAATTGATAAGTTTGTTAGGCTGATTTCAAGATTTATTAAAAACTGTACTAGTGTTAATACTAGTTAACGAATGGATGTTGATATTACTCAAATTGAAAATCCAAAAAAGCTAAAGCATGAGGGTTGTCCCAAAGGGTCAAATTCTGCTTAACAAGATATTCTTCAGGATTTAAATATGGAACAGAAAGAAAATTCAAGACCAAAAAAACATGCTAATGTTGAAACTAATAATAATAATATTAAACTAAAATCAGGAACTCGATATTGTGGAAATTGTTATGGAACTAGACATTACAATTCTACTTGCAAATTTCCCAAAAATCACTTTAAGTAATTTATATTCAGTAACAATTTTAAATAGCTTGGTAAATTGTATGATAATATGTTTGTTAATTGCAGTATTTTAAATTGTAATTAGCTTATGCTTGGATGTATTATGATCAAGAAAACATGTTTAATTTGAGAATTAGAAATTAATAGAATCTTTGTTATAATCAAATTTATTGTACTATGATGTTTAAATTTTTATCTTAATTGTATAGTATATATATATTCATCGAAATATTAAGAATTTTTAATTAATGTTAATGCTCTTTGTCAATACTCACATAGTATGTACTTAACTATGTTACTAGAGACAGGAATTTTATAGCATAAAAGATAATGTCTTTAATATTAATAAAGTATCAAAATATATAACAGCTTGTATTCATATTACACTATCTTATAAATTTATATACGTATATGTTGTGCCTCAGACTAATGCTTGTCTTAGATTATAG